CCGGGGCCGAACGGGCTACTGAGCAGGACCCGAACAGTCGAGGGTCTTGACAAAGCTTTCGACGGACTGGTTGGGTGGCTGAACTGGGTCGCTGGGAAAGCACTCCACGGAAGAAGGCGAGCTGCGGCTACAGCTCTCACTGGTGTACTGTGGAGGTGCAGCAGGCCCGCCCGGGAGGCCAGGAGAGCCGAGAGGCTGGCGAAGGAGACCCGGGCAGAGTACTGCTGGGAGGAGCTTAGCGAAAGGCTCAAGGACCTTTCCAGAACAACGCGCGAAGCACGGACGGGGGCTTGGAGGAACAACCTGCAGGAAGCAAGCGAGGCAAAGAAGCCCGATCAGATGTGGAGCTTGGAAAGATGGGCCAGGCTACGGAGCTTTTTGCCGCCGGAACCACCGAGACTACCGGCATTCAAGGACTCGTCCGGACAGGTAACGGCCGAAACGCACGACCAGAAACCAGCGCACTGGCCGAGAGGTTCTTCCCGGACCCACCGGCCAACCTAACGGACGTGGAAGACCAAGCCTTTCTAGGCGACTAGAACCCGGGATTCGACGTCTCACAGGCAGTGACGCCGACCGAGATCGCGAAAGCAATAGGAGGAGCAAGCCCCTGGAAGGTGCCAGGAGAGGATCTGCTCCCGATGGGTCTTCTGAAGGAAGAAGGCATGTGGAATGCCACTGACTAAAGTGCTCGCCGTATTGGCGACGAGGTGCCTGGAACTAGGATGGTTTCCCGACCGGTTCAAAAAGGCAAAGACCATAGTACTACCGAAGCCAGGGAAGGCGCCGCCAGTGTATCAGACCCCGGGAGGGTACAGGCCCATTGCGCTACTGCCAACCCTAGGGAAGGTAGTAGAGTCAGTGGTCGCGAGGAAGGTCACTCAAGCTGCTGAAGTCAACGGCCTTCTACCAGACGAACAAATGGGGAACAGGGCACACCGCTCCACGGAGATGGCTGTTCGGCTAGTAGTAGCCCAGGTCCAGGAGGCATGGAGACAGAAGGGCGCGGCATCCCTATTGCAACTGGACATTTCAGGAGCCTTCGACACGGTTAACCACACCCGACTGCTAGCAACTTTGCGAGAAATGGGCTACCCGAGGTGGCTAGTCCTCTGGGCGAGAGACTGGTTGACGGGCCGAGAGGCCACCCTCCTCTTTGACGGCAAGACGGCGGCACCGACGGCAGTTCGGGCAGGGGTCCCCCAAGGCTCGCCCCTGTCCCCTGTCCTCTTCATTCTCTATATTTCCTCATTATACAAGCAGCTAAAAGACGAGCACCCTCACTTGTCTATAGCGGGGTTTGCGGATGACACCAACCTCCTGGTATTTGGTCGAAACCCCGAAGCGAATGTCCGGCAACTAGAGGCGGCGTGGGGAACGTGTATACGATGGGCGGACAGTCGGGGGATGAAGTTCGCACCGGAAAAGAGCGAACTGATCCATTTCAACAAGGGGCGACGGCAGTGGTCAAACCAGCTGGAACTCACCAGCCCAGGGAAAGGCACCAGCCCCGTCAGACCGAAGGAGTCTGCCAGGTTCCTGGGAGTCTGGCTGGACCGGAAGCTCAACTGGAAAGCCCACCTTGCAGCGGTGGAGAGGAAGCTGAGGACCCAGAGCTATGCCCTGTCGAGGCTAGCGGCGTCGACGTGGGGACTGGGGCTAGCCAAAGCGCGAGAAGTGTACACAAAGTGCATCCGGTCAGCGCTGGCCTATGGCGCATCGTCGTTCCACATCCCCACGGATGTGGGAGGCGAGCCGGTAAAGAAAGGCATCACCAAGGCCCTCGGGAAGGCCCAGAACAAAAGCTTGCGGATTGTAGCGGGAGCCTTCAAGCACACTCTCCATCCGCAACCTCGAGACGGAGAGAGTGGGTGCCGCCGTTGGACCTTATATCACAACAAACGGCTTGCAGAATCTCGAAAACCGACTCCGACGACCCGATCTGGACGGACGGTCAAGGCGGCAAGAAGACGGGCGGCGAGCGTTGTCCTCACCGCCTGCCGCAAGATACAGCAGAGACTTAGCTCAAGGAGGGGCAACAGGGGCCGACCGCGAACCTTGGGACCTCAAGGGCCTACGGCGGTGGAGAGAGCCGCGGGCACGGTCATGCGCTGGACGGGGGGAATCGTTGATACGAACAAGGTAGTAGAAGAGGCCTGGAGGGCGAGGTGGCTAAAGGAACGGGACGGCAGAGCGATCGCCAGACCGGCGGACGACTTCGACCATCAGCGGGAGACGCTATTCCGGAACGAAACCCAAAGGAGGCACGACGGTCTCAGCAAGGCGAAGAGCTCACTGCTGGTTCAAATCCGGACGGGAGCAATAGGCTTACGGGACTTCTTGTTTACACGGGGAGTCCCGGAGGTTCTGACTCCTACCTGCGAGTGTGGCGAGGGACGAGAGACTGCCGAACACCTGGTAGTGTGGTGTTTGGCCCCACCGTTGACTCGAAGATGGGAGAGAACTGGAATTCGGACACGACGGGACTTTTACTTTGTGCTATACGGCATCAATCCCACGACTGCACGGCTCGCGAGGAGAGTCCTCGACTGGCTGATTGTGACGGCAGCTGCCGTCGGAGTGCACTGTGGCTCCACTTGGTTGGGCACGTGACCACACGCGCTGGCATTTAACTCCTGTATCGCGAGAGCTCTTCCAGCTTCTCTTCCTTTTCTCCCCATCTTGCAATTAGCAGAAATAGAGTCTCATCGGCAGTGCCCTCGCGCCTCGCCCAAATGTCCCTCGTCTCTCACACTGATGGACTCGGGGAAGCTGCCGATGTACAACTTAGCCAGGAGGATCGAGCTGGAAGCGGCGGCCTGAAGCGCCCCCGTTCGGAGGCCAGGAGGCCTCCTCTCTTTGTATACGCAGACTCACCAGAACGCATCGTTCCTTGATTATTGGTATGGGTTTTTCACCCGGCCCAGGAGGGCACGGTTTTCCTGTACACTAAATAGCTGAGGGCCCGGCACGCCCTAGGGCATAGCGGAGTATGAATAATAATATTATACTATAACTAGTATATAGACATTAGCGAGCGGCCAAGACGTGGGGCCCGAGCCTTGCACGGGCCCGAGAGCTGTACACCAAGTGCATTCACAGTGCTATAGTCTACGGAGCCTCTAGCTACCACCAGCCAACAGCTCCAGGGGGGACCAAGAAGCCAAAAGGGATCGCAAAGGTTCTGTCGAAAGCTCAGAACAGGAGCCTCCGCATAGTGGTTGGAGCTTATAAATCGGTCCCTATTAGGTGCCTAGAGACGGAGGCTTGGGTGCCACCACTGGACCTCTACCTCAACAAACGGCTTGCCGACTTCGAAGACCGGCTACGCAAGGAGACCCTACAACCAGGGGCGGGACCAGAAGCCCCAAAGACTATTCCGTACCCCGGGGCACTTGATCACAGAGGCTTGCAACAGAGTCTACCGCAGGGTTAGAAAGAAGAAGAAGGGCCGAGGACAGAAGCCCCGTCATGGCCCGCATGCCCCAACACCCACCGAGCAAGCCACTATTATAGTGGGCCGGTGGGCTAGCCAGAGGTGGAAGACAGGAGAAAAGAGAGGCAAGAAGTTGAAAACCGACGAAGTGATGGAACTAGCATGGCAAGCCTGGTGGGAGCAACAGAGACCAAGGCAAGAGGGGGTTGGTAGAAGGATGGCCGATGAAGACCCCCCAGCTCTCCTTTTCACGAAAAAGGCCCTACAGAGGTACGAGGGCCTTACGAAGGCCCAGAGTACCCTCCTTTCCCAGGCCCGTATAGGGGATATAGGCCTTAAGGACTACCTATTCAGGGTTAAGGACCCGGAGGTCCGTACCTTCTACTGCGGGTGCGGGGAAGGCAGGGAGACAGTGGAGCACTTGGTGGTTTGGTGCCCTGACCCAACGTTACAGAGACCGTGGGAACACCGGGAGATTCGGTCACATGGGGACTGACTTACAAACCGTACTACGGGGAGTAGGTGCCCGGAGCGTTAGGCTTGTTAAGAAGCTCCTGGGCTGGCTGATGGACTCTGGCCGGCTACTGGAGTACAGTCTAGCCAGAAGGCTAGAGCTAGAAACAGTGGATGGAGAGGGCTAGAGAGTCCGGAGGCCGGCAAAGGGCCTCTTTTCTTTTCGTAGTCAGATGGATTCATACATTGTAGTCGCGAAGGGGTAGGCAGAGGTTTTTGTCCGGCCCATAGGGTACGGTTTCCTTTGTAAATAGCTGTATAAGGACCGGCGCGCCCCAGGGCATATCGGTGTAGGAAATAATAATAATAATAATTCTATTAGTTCTTAGTTAGTTCTTATAAGTAAATAATAATATTTCTAGTAAGCGCTTCTAGATATGCACCCACCTCCCGGTCAGGCCACCAACCGATCAATTTTTTTCCCCACCCCTGATTCGGCACCCTCTCTATTCCAAACCACCCAGTTCCACCAAAACAAGCTCAAATTCAGCTCCATTACTCTTATTCAAATTGTCTCTTCCATGGCTCCAGAAGATAACATCCAGCAGGCAATCCAAGCCGTCAGGGATGGCCAATCCATCCGCAAAGCTAGCGAGGCATGGGGAGTTTCCTTTTCTACCCTCCGGGGACCGAGTCGTCGCCAACGCCTAACCGAAGGGACAGTACAAAGCACAGGTGATGCAGAAGCTCAGCCCTGGGTCAAGAAAAAACACTTGGCCGAACTGGGTTCTTGCCCAGGAAGCTCTAGGGCTTCCGGTTGAAGCATCGACAAATCGAGGTCTGTGCTAACCGTATCCTCCGTGCCTCTGGATCTGACCAGATTATCGGTAAACACTGGCTTCAGAAGTTCATCGGGAAGATACCCAGTTTTAAAGACGAAGAAAGATAGACGTATGGATATCAAACGGTTGGATGCAGCTAGTACTGATGTTATCAAGGCCTGGTTCCATCTCCTCGCGATCCCAGTCAGACCCGCAAGGCCGTTGGAATATGGATGAAACAGGGATAATGGAAGGTCTGGGAATCAACGGCTTATGCGTTGGATCATCGGAGACGAAGGAAGCGTTGTCGAAACACCCCGAATCCCGGATCTGGACAACCATTATAGAGTGCATCTCAGCAACCCGAAAAGCTCTCCCAGCGTTAGTCATCTTCAAGGGGAAAGACATCCAACAACAGTGGTTCCCTGATAACGACCAAGACCTTGATCCATTACGCAACTGGCGGTTTTCGACGAGTCAGAATGGCTGGACATCTAATGATAATGCCCTCGAGTGGCTGACAAAGATGTTTTGTCCGACGACGGCGACATCGAAGAAGAGGCTCCTTATTGTTGATGGCCACGGTAGCCACGAGACTGACGACTTCATGTGGACCTGTTTTTCCAACAATATCTACCTCCTCTTCTTACCTGGACATGCCTCCCCACGTTCTACAGCCCCTCAACCTGTCGGTTTTCTCTCTGTTGAAGACCACATTACCGCCGTGGTATCAACGACCTCACTGTGATGACAGACTGTGCCCCCATTGGCAAGAGGCTCTTCTTACGGCGTTATGCGCAAGCCAAGAACGATGCCATCAAAGAAAGGAATATCCGAAGTGGCTGGAAGGCATCAGGATTGTGGCCAGTCAACCTAGACAAACCTCCTGATGAGCCGTCTACTGTTGAACCCAACCAGCCAGTCAGTCAGTCAGCCAGTCAGTCAGTCAGCCAGTCAGTCAGTCGTCGGCTAATCAAGACTCCAAACCGCAGCCAGGAGGTCCACAGATTGATATCAACAAATGTCCGTCTACGACGACTGCAAACAATAGACCCAGTGGCTAGGAGTCTTTTCAAAAAGGTGGGCAAAAGCCTTGACAATACAGCCATCAAGGTAGCTAGTCAAGAACAGAAGATCCGGGCACTGGAAGCTGAGGTAGATAGACTAAGGCCGAGAAAAAGGAAGAAAGTCAGGATGGATCCCAACACCCGGTTTGCCCAGATTGAACAGATCATGCAGGCTAAAAAAGCACTTGCGAAGCAGCTAGAACTCTCAGAGAAAGTAGATGGATATGTATTTGAAGATATCTGGCTGGAATGGTCAATTTTCGACCCTCCTGTAGATACTGAAAATGGGGAGGCAGATGGGGAAATTTGATCGGTTGGTGGCCTGACCGGGAGGTGGGTGCACGGACTTAACAACAGGCCGATTCCGTCGGTCAGATCGAGTGACCACTTTAGACGTGCTTGCAACACCCATCTGGAAACCAGTTTTCGTCAAAGTTGTAGAAGAAAGTTTTTATTACTACTAGGTATAGAAGGTAGGTAGTTTTTGAAATAGAAACTCCCTTACTTTGGATCTTCTTTAAGGATACATTCCATACTCCTTACCTGCTGTTTTCTCTTTCTAGTTATTATATATAAGCCTCTTTCTTTTTTTAGTTCCCTTTCGATTTTTTTTAAGCTTTTTACCTATAAAGTTCCAATTTATATAATAGATTTAACTAGTAAATTAGGCTTTCGCTTAGTTACCTAGGAGTAAGTTTAAAAATAATTATACCCTTTATTTTCTAGAATCTAACGTAATCTATTACCTTTCCGGTCACTTCCCTGCCCCACACCCCACCACGTCGACTTCGGACTCGCTCCACTACGCCATTGTGCCCGGCAAAATGCCAAAGCCTCTACAGCACGAAGATAAGATCCAATTAGCACTCGAGGCCTTACGTTCAGGCCAAATCAAAAGCATTCGCAAGGCTGCAGCCGCATTTGACGTACCGAATAGGATTTTACAAGAACGCGTCAAGGGGGTGCTACACGTCAACAAGCGCAAGTCAAGAGTCGAAAGCTACTCCCGACCGAAGAATCTGCCCTGATTCAATGGATCGAATTATTGGACGACCGTGGGATGTCGCCAACGATCGGTTATATCCGACAGATGGCCGACCTTCTTCTCCGCGAGCGTGGAGGCTTCACTTTACTCGACGCGTCTCTTACATCCACCCCAGTCCCGGCAATGACTGTCGGCGAGAACTGGGTCCAGCGGCTTCTTCATCGGCATCCCCATCTGAACACACAAAGTATTCTAGGAAGTATGCCTATCAACGAATACGGTGTTCTTGACAACGAATTGGTTTCTAATTCTTTCTATAACCCTTCTATAATAATATGTAAAACTAGAGTATAATCCAATCTAATAAACCGTAGTAAATAGTAAAATAAAGAAGAAGGTACAAGAAATATTAAAT